AATAACTATCACTACATGAAGCAATTCTTTATCAATTTCCATYAGGAATGCATCAGTATCAGTTATCTCTATAACATGACCAAACTTGGGTCTTGTTTCAGCTATCTTACGGTCTTGTTCTTCTTTCATTTGCAATAAGCGTTTAAAATGATACTGTTTCAAGAATTCATCTTCTTCAATCTCTAATTCTTTCATCAAAGCTTTTTCTTTCTCATCGTCTATCTGTGATAGACGRAAAAAATATATACATGTATGTAGTCTGATTCTCTAATAATTAACTATTTATTGAGTTTGAGTCTTTGATTTTCATGTTTTAATGAGAAAATGATAATAAAGGATTTGACCAGTGATGGACCGATGTGTGCACCAATGCTCCAAATTTCCGATTTGAAAAGTATTCRAGAGCTTGTTACAATTGCTTAACCTCAAGTTTTTCCAAAGGTTACCCAGTGACTCAAGGCATKGGTTATCATTCTGATTATCTTTCAATTGTCATATTTTGAATTATATACACTAAAATTAAAGAAATTGAGAAAGAATGGGGAAAATGAAATYGCTGATTTTTTGTTTGTGCATTTTTGTAAAAAATATCAGATCAATATTTTCCAGTATCAATCAATAACATTACACTTTTTCTCAGAGATTGTTCGCGTGCTTCATGCCACACAACCTGGTGCATCAATCTACCATGTAGCTGTTGTTTCATACATGGAAGTGATCGTGACGTAGTACCACAGGTAACCCACAAGTTCAAAGACTGTCACCCATGAATCAAGCAAATAAACTGTGTGCTTGCATTTTTTCGCTTTAATTTGTTTGGAATTTTTTAAGGGGTAGGCTGCCTATAGTAATTGTAGCAATAAATGAAGAGATTTGCTCTCTGAATAAAATCCCATGGTCGACCCCTCTCTCCTAATAATGCTCTAATTAAGAAAAGTTAAAATAAGCTTATGATATTCTTGACGATGAGCACTTACACTGGTTTGACAGCCAGTAGAAAACTTTTTTATCAAAGATTTCAACTCTTCTTCCTGCTCCTGCTTCTGTTGTGTTTCTAACTGCTTGTATCGTCTGAAGTCTTGCAATACACCTTTCGGCCCTGTCTAGAATGATATAACTTAATGAGATTACATGGACAATACGCTAAAAAAGCACAACCCCTTTCTTAATTTTGATATCCTGAATTATCAAGTTATAATTTGTAACATTACTTCTACATAGATCTTTCACCTTGGCGCCTGTAGTGAAACAAAGATTTTCGACATCGGGAGCAGCTCCACCAGAAGCTTGTTCGTTGCTGTCAGTGTGACTTTCGGTTTCGCCTTCTTCCTCGCTTTCGGAACTCGAAACGTAATTTTGTGCTTTGTAGCCGAGAATTTTATCTTCTATAGAAGTCATAATGATTTGTCCATATGCAAAAAAACACCGTTGAGATTTCCCTTTATTTTATCCAACACTGCACTATATTAACTATGTCCAAACGAACAACAAAAGACACTCCATTCACTTAGTGCCAGGCCCTTGTCAGACATTCCACAGGAAACCCAAACAACGATTGTGGGTAATTTTTTCCTTTTTCAGAATATTGCAAGACGTCGCACGGTCACCATGATCAAGCTTCGGACGGAAGGCCGAGAAAACAAATGGGAAGCAATAGATGCTCTTCCAAACAATAAGGCAAAACCTAACCCAACAATAGAATTTGATCAGTACTATTAAAAGGAAAACTCAAAAGTCTAACCCGAAACTCTAACCTACCTCCAGAAGTTTGATTTGATAATCACTCTAAACATATTGGGAGTAACCACATATGGTCTTTGAACGCCTTTAATTCCTTTAGTATTGAAATTCTATTGTTGGGTTAGGTTTTGCCTTATTGTTTGGAAGAGCATCTATTGCTTTCTGTTTGTTTTCTCGACCTTCCGTCCGGACGGTTGACCACGGTTCACCGTGGTGAAAAAAGGGCGTGGCTGATGTGATTTTTAAACCCTAAGAGATTGATAAAATGACTTGAAGCGCTTTTTACGGATGCAATTTCAAAAGCTTTGAGATGTCGGTATTAGATGTCGCTTAGTGACCTTAGTCGTTTTTTCTTTGCCCAGTTGAATCACAATGCGCTGTTGTACTATAGGGGTTGTAGAAACAGATCGGTAGAGACAATTCAGTTGGATTTGTAAGGCGGGACAAGCTCCCTTAAGTTTCAGTGGGAGTACAAGCAAGTGGTGTTCGTCCGTAGTGCTTCATAATCTGTGGTGGAGGGAATATCGCACGTTCGAGTGGCTCTGCRGCTCTAGTAGGTCGGATAGGCCCAGCAATGACGGAGATCGAATATGTGAGCTGCATAGGTTGCCTGGTATTTTAGTTAAGAGGCAGCTAAATTGGTGAATGGCTTTCAGATATGATGTTTATCGTAGCCACTATTCTCACTTTAGGTTTGGTGATAAGACCGCAGAATTTACTTGATACAGAGTACCCAGGGGCTATAACCCACAATATAAAATTTTACATAATAATAATTGGTAAAATCTTGTCAGTCGCTAAAATTATAGTTTTTCCTGCAATATTAACATTTTATTATGACGTCGCTATCACGTCAAAGCGCCCCTACAATCTATTAAAACTGACTTTTGCTGAATGCTCCAACTCCTGAAAAATTCAAAGGACAACCGTGACGACTGCATAAACTAAAAATAAGTAAAGAACATAAAGTAGTAACGATCTTGGTGAGCTGTTTTGGGGTCCTTATTTTCCTGCGTACTTCCTGAAATATAGTAATTGTTATTCATTCATTTATTAATTTATCTCATTTCATTTTTTCTTCTCTTCAGTGTGAGTTTTTAAGTGATCTTTCAAAATATGCTTTAATGAAAATTTCTTTTTGCAGTAAGAACATTCAAAGGGCTTTTCGCCAGTGTGCGTTCTTAAGTGACGCGTCAAGTCAGTCTTTCGTGCAAACTGCTTTTTACAGTAAGAACACTTGAAGGGCTTCTCTCCTGTGTGTATACTTAGGTGATTGTTCAAACTTGTTTTGCGTGTAAATTTTTCTTTACAGTAAGAACATTCAAAGGGCTTCTCTCCAGTGTGCATTCTCAGGTGATGTTTCAAACTTGTTTTTCGTGTGAATTTTCTTTTGCAGTAAACACATTTAAAGTGCTCTCCAGCATGCATTTTTAGGTGATTCTCTAAACCCGTTTTTCGCGCAAGTTTCTTTTTGCAGTAAGAGCATTGAAAGGGCTTCTTTACCGTGTGTATTCTTTGATGGCTGCTCAAATKAGCCTTTGWTGCAAATCTCTTTGTGCAGTAAGAACATCCATAGGACTTCTCTCCAATGTGCTTTCTAATATGTGTTTTCAAAACGGACTTGTGCTCAAATTTTTTGTTGCAATAACAACATTCAAAGCCTGTCTTTCTATCACCATCTAAAATAGCATTGTTTTGAACAGATGTTTTTGAAGTGTCATGCTTATTTTTGTCTTTATTCTCTACCAATTGTTTAGTGTCATAATTTCCAACTCTTTTTTGAAGTACATTTTCCATATTCACACTATCTTCATTGYTGAGAGGTTTGCCAGWCTCTTGTTGATGGCAGTTGTCTTCATCTAGGTTCTTATATCTAATAAACAGAATCTGCCCTGACTTACATTTATATTCTATCCAGTTTGTATGATCCATCTTACTCAATTGTTTCAAGACCTACAAGAAACAAAAACACAATCTAGACAAACTCAACAAAAATAATATTCATTTCCTCGGTGGTTAGCTGTTAATTGTCAATTATTTACTTAGGGGAGGGGCACAAAGGGTTAGGATCACTGGTTGACTTAAACACTTGAATTAGGGACAGTAGCCCAACCAAAGCACCCTCCCTATAAATCCATCCATTGTGTAACAACATAATGCTCACAAACAGTTCATTACAAAAGAATTTTGAAGTAGAACATAGTTATCAAGTCTTGTAAAAGTATTACATCTAGTTTCCACTGCCTATGAAATTCATCAAAAATAGCTGTCTGTGTTTTTAATTTATAAYATCATGAGTAATGTTTTAATTTTTTCGCAGAACATATTCCCAACTATTTTGTAAAAATGCCAAAACTACATACAAAAGCGTTATTATAAGCCTTTTTGAACTTAATTCTACTTTTGACGTGTTTGCAAATTCTACTCAAGTTGTTCCTGTTGATCTAAACTTCATGCCAAATCCAGTACTAACAGTATTTTTTCATTCTTAAACAATATTAAATACATAGAGGAAATACATAGGCTGATCCAGTGACGATTTTAATTTTTAATGTTGAAAATATCTCTCACGAGTGAGCGCTAGTGGACAGGTGAGAGATTTTCAACACAAGAACAAGACCAAATTTACAAGCGTTTGTATGTKGTCACCTGACCATATTACTTGTATATATATACACGCCTTAGACCCGATACGTGTAGTACACATAAATGATTTTGAAAGGTAAATAAATAAGTAGTGTCACACTTCTTTTGCRATTTTCTTTTGTGCTCTGAGCTCTTTCATCTGTATAWAATGATCAACTCGCTTTTCGTTGAGTCTTTTGCAGGTGTTTTGAATGGCGATCCTCCTTACTYGTAGCRCCACTATAAATGGCAATAGGACACTGACATTTGGTAGATAGCTACTTTTTTCCATGTGCTTTAAGGATTATAGGCCCAACTTAGTTGGATAGAGCTTCTTCTGCTCCTATTCCTGAGCTGTGTATTATAGTGTGTGGTGTAGTGTATGTAGTCCCATTAGTCCCCTTATATCCAGTAGTCCTATACCTGAGCAGTATGTGTAGTATAGTCGTGTGTGATGTATGTAGTCCCCTTATACCCAGTAGTCCTATACCTGAGCAGTATGTGACGTATAATATAGTGTGTGATGTATGTAGTCCCCTTAAATCCAGTAGTCCTATACCTGTGATGTGATGATGTATTCCCATTAGTCCCCCTATACCAACCATCTCAATCATGAGTAGTGCAGGTAGCATATACCCATACCAATTAAACCCATGTTGGAAATCAAGACCAACTATACCCGGGTATAAGAAAAACATAAAAGAAATGCATTCCTAAAATGTGCACCATATGTTAAGGATATTTCAACGAAATAATCCGAAAATTCAAAATAAACAGTATTAATTTGTGATGTCACACTTTAGTACTCTATTGCCATCAAATTTACATGCATGAGTTAAAATAGTAATATGTACTAATGTTATTCTTAATATACCCCTTTATGGATGCATAAAACATGGTAAAGCTTCATGTATTATTAAATGTTAGTTTTTTTCTAATATTAATTGTGCATAAATCTATTGTCTTTGGGTTGTGAAAAACACATATAAAATTGGGTAGCCAAAACAAAATGACCTGTTATTGATTGGTCCCTCTTATGTGGGTGAAATTTCAAACTGCCACGCCCATCAATTCACAGTAAGGTCCCAGGCCCTTTTTTGTTAGGGAGTCCCCCGGTTCCAATACTCAACACGTAATCGTACCTGGAGTAATTAATCGATGGAAATCGATCATCGATTACCTAATCGATTAATCGATATTAATCAATGGAATTAGTCAATTAATATCGATTTATATTGATAATCGATGATTAATCGATAGTCACACGAAAAGTTCCTTAATTAATATCGATTAGAATCGGTCAGCTATTCGGTTGAAATGTCGAGAGATCGAAACACTAGCCTGAACAGCAGACGTTTCGAAGGTTTATTAGTTCTTCCGGTTGACCTCTGAACTTGTGAACACGAGCTCCGCATTTACCCGTTCGTCTTTAAAATTATCATGCACAAGAGCATTCTTGAAAGACTTGATCGACAACAAGTGCCTATTACGCCAAACCACTAAGAGTAGCTGTTTCGTAGAAAACTCTCCTTGAATTCGTCACAGTGACTACAACTTATTTAATGGAGGAATGATAAGCTGGTATATCAGAGATTTTCCATGCCCCTTTGGTAACGAAACAAAGGTGTCTTCTCCACAAATAAATGCTGAGATTCGTTTCTCTTGATGAGAGGATAATTTAAATAATCTACTAGAAAAAAAAAAGACTTTGAAAGCTTGGTATTGAACGATAGACGGCATAGTATGCTTGTTGGCTTTAGACGCGCGCAGGAAAAACAGTTTGACTGAGGAAAAAGAAAAACTGGTCTTGACTAGCCCCAACTCTTGGGCTAAATCGGCAGATCAAAGAAATTACAAGGTTTCGGCCGAGTGTTATTTCCTTCGCAAATTTTTTACTGAGGTAAGGTAAATAACACTCTGTTCGCAGGGTAGTATAGTCTGTATACTCGTCTGAATACTACTGATTTGCCGTTTCACGTTAATTTGTATGACCAAAGTAAAGTTAACAAATTGATGTGTAATCGATATTAATCGATGGTAGTTTAACTATCGATTACTAATCGATAAAAAGGTCACAGATTTGTTGCTCATCGATTAGTCATCGATTTCCAATATTTTAAAATCGATTAATTAACATCGATTAATATCGATTGATATCGATTTTATCGATCATCGGTTTCATCGATTAATTACTCCGGGAATCGTACAGTGTATTGACGAATGCGCTTAATAAGAGTCTCAAACTAAATTCAAATGGAATTAAAGATTTTGCCTACTTTGACAATTCTAGAAGTAGATGTTGTATATGCGTCTAGTTTGAATGATTCGATCTTACACGTTAGAGAGGATCGATTAAGTTCGAATATGAGTTCGATTCATTTCAAACTGCTGAACTACTACGCGAACATGTTCCAGAGGCTGTAATGTGATTGGTAGAGTGATTTTGCCTAGATAATGCCGCAACTAATTAACCAATTCGCTCACGTCGAAACAACCTACCTTATTTTGATATTCTGTACTGTTTTCAATACCAAAATCTGAACGTTAACAGTGTAAACGATCAATGGCAATGTCTTACTGCCAGGCGTTGCTGGAGCCTCGACAGGTGTGAACCACAGGCAACCCAATCATGCGACGTCTTTTTAGCCGTCCGATTCGCGTCCTCAGTTTTTGCTTTTTCTTAGCTGTGCAGTTTCTACAGTGAAATTMTCAATTAAAATAGTTTTTAGCGAAATTTAAGTTTGAGGAGAGTACCAAACACAAAACTTGCCAAGAATGTACGTCAGCACAGATTTGGGTGCCAGAGGGATGCAGCCCCCCTCCCCTGCTTTTTCAAATCTTTATAATGCATCTTGATACTTGATCCCAGAGTGCTGCTTTTTTATGAGTTTCAATATGACTGCTATACGGGGACGTACCGCTGGCCAGGGTATGGTTTTTGGCCTTGCTGACTCTTAAACAGGGTATACATTTCACCCGAAATTGTCTTAAACAGGCTCTACAATTTAGATAAAAGACCGATATAATTTTTTTGTATGTCTTGGACGGGGTAATATTTTCATAAAAAACACCGTAGAAATAGTAGAAATACCGTTTCACTGTCCCAGGATTAACGTGTTATCAGAAAACTTCTTGTCTTTGATGGATGTCAGTATAATTGCAGTTTTGATGGTTGCGGCGTAGATAGCTATTCCTTATTTTCCCGATTTGTCTTGAACAGGGTATGAATTTTTACTTTTAAGTGTCTTAAACAGGGTCAGGGATTTAGACAGCTGGCGGCACGTACCTATAGATATAGAATACTGTATTACCAATCAAAAGTACTGGCTGACAATACCATCAGTGACATCAGTACAAATTGCAGTTACGTCCTCTTATTGACACAATCTTGACATTAACACAAAATACTCAAAACTCAAGTGAGCCCATAAGAACAGAATTCTTCTTCTCTACTCAGTTAACTGTGAGCATTTTAAAGTCCCTATAAACCCTTCGAGGGTTATTGGATATTTTGATTGTTTTTATATAGTAGGTTAACAATCCAAAATATTTTTTCGATTGGATAAATATTCTTTGAGATATAGCGCTTCAAAGTCGGCCTTTCGGACACGCCCAAACGATTTGGCCGGGCGCGCGAGAGGTCTGGTACCTCAGAAGGCTCTGACGTCACAGCAAGAACACACGATCGAAGTTTTCAAGAAGTAACACAGCGTCAGTCAAGATTTTAATGATCTTCAGACGTCGAAAATCAAGCGTGTTTATACGGCGAAGAGCCTTGAGCGGAAGAAGAATGGCTACAGGAATATAATTGAGAAATATAGCAGAAAAAAAGCTAATAGAGCCTTCATATTAAGTTAAAATGTCCTAGACGTATGCACGACAGCCCGGCACAATCTTATAAAGGTCTATAAACTAAAATGTCTGGCAGCCAAAATTTTTCAAAACTTTCGAGGAAATTACTGCTGATTCTTGAATCAAACTAGTTCTGCTTTGTATAGAAATATCAAGTGCTTCTTATGGGCTA